GTTGAAGACGAGACCTTTACGACTGAAGGGTGGAGGGTGTTGATGATTTGGTACAGAGGGAGGGAGAGCTAAAGAGTGAAAGGGGGCACCACCACACATCGGAGACACTGACACGAAATTGAGACACCTGTGCACGCGCTTCGCACTCAGTTTAGCCAACTGATGACCTTGAGTGAGTGTTCGCGCAGTTTTATAAGACCACTTATACCATCTAAGCTACAACATTCACATTACTCCTCTGTTTAGACCCATGTACATATAGACATCCATAGGGTTAACCTGAAGGGAAAAGCACATGATGTGTGCAGATAGGCACACATCCCTACCGTTTTCAACGAGCTGTAGAAGTCGTAGATGGGCCCTGGAGAGTGCTGAAGTAGGCGCCAGTGTAAGTATCACGACGCACGGGATGCTGAGGGCCGATGGTGTCGGAGAAAGCGGCAGTGCGTGAAAAGGCGCCCTCGCCATTGTTCACTTGTCTGCTAGTAGCCATCGCACTTCTCCCTGACATTTCGAAACGGTGTCCACTGCCACCGGGCACTTGAATAACAAACTTCTTTCAAAGCCTTTGAGAACACACATCTTCGGCAATAGGATCTCTGTGGAGAGGAAATGCCCTAAAATTCAAGTGGAACTTTCCCTCTCAATAGCACAATATTAATGCGTTGCCGATAACGTCACTATATTTGAGCACCTCTGTATGCTCATAGCAACCTATTTCAGAGCACAAATGCCCAGAGTATCACCTTTCGAAGTGAAGCAATGCCCACCAGGAATATTCGCCATGGAAGAAGTCAAGGAGGAAAGGAGGTAGGGACAGAGGTGTTAATTTTAGCGTATTCAAGAATCTGATAAAGCTAATAAAGATGTAGTAACTTTGACAAGCTGGCTCACCACTGACAGGAGGGTACATAGATTTTCACGCCACATCTTATGTCGTTGAAGTGAAGCAGATGGGAGAAGAGGTAGGAAGGTAGATAGACACCTAAAGAGACAGAAAGATAGTTTGATAGATAGAGATAACCAGTCAGGCAGGGTTATCGACATAGAAATAAAGAGACCTCCCCACCTTGGCCTGTATATCTACCTAATCCCCTATTAACCAAATAACCCAATAAATAGACAGCTAGAAAGCGTGTAAGTAAAAAACGATTCCTAATGCTTGCCAGTGGGCTAAGTTGCGGGAGGAGGCAAACATACACATCTCTGCCTCCACGACCCGTCAATCAACTATTTGCAGCACGGCAAAAACTCAAGGCTAATTACTACTATGAGTAAAAGGGGAAGGGAATGACCACTCCGAGGCTACAACATTACTACAGTAGGGGAGGTAAAGACGCTGAAGTGATTAATGTGCTGTCTCTGAAGTCATCGTCATAGCGCTACACCTCCAATGAACACTTCATTCATGTGCAATTCGGAGGCAGTAATCCAAAGAAGCTTCTTTTGGTTATAATAAACGTTTGCTAAACAGCGAAGCTCACTCAAAGTCGCATCCTTTTCCCATCTATTCACTAGTTTATAAACAAAATAACATCAGCAGAAGAAACTGACAACATTGCGTGATATCCAGTAAAATACAAGTGGGCACAAATGGCGCATAAATGTCGGGGAGGTGGGGGACGGCTTTTTTCCAGTCCGAAAACAGTGAGAAGTGGGGCAGCTTTATACTTTCTCATCACAAGTGAATTAGCTATAAAACATGCATAGTTGATGCAACAATAGTGTATAGCACAGCAGATACTGTTCGACTTAGTGGGAAGAAGAAAGCTTATCTGGAGGTAAGAATGATGTTTCACTGCTGATATTCACGCAAGCTATGACGCAGATTGCTGCAAAACACTTCAACATCCAGCATGCTTGATTCGATAACAGTAGCTCCAGAATAGTTTAATAAACACTCTAACCACATATCCCAATCATAATTCCCAAAGAGCACATTCATATGCATTAAAGCCTACTAAACACAGCCTTTCTCGATTAGGCTGAGACAACAATGCAAGCAATAGGCAAACGCAAGCCAGTTATTATTTGACATGGAAAACGAAATAAGTGGTAAGGTTTACCACAAAATGGATCAATTCAGTCAATGGCATGATTTGACGTCAAGGTGCACAAAAATCAGACCTGTTGACATTTAGTAAAAACCAGGCTGTGGACCACGTAGGAAATGGGAAAGTGAGAATCAGTACAGCTAGCTTTAAGCCGTCCAAGTAGAATTTGAATCGTGCGATTTTCATCCACTCAGCAGTATCTGCGGCAGATACAAAAGGCTACACCTCACAGTGGGGAGGCGCACCTCACCAAGGTAGATAAATGGTATATATAATTACATATATGCAATCAAGGGCCTTTCCAATGCAAATAAATGTACGCTTGTGCGCACTTGTAAATTGGCAGGCTCATTCTTCCATGCAGCTTCACTCTTCCCTTGCACTGGCGATTAGCCCTTCCTGTCTAACACGCCATCAACCCAGAAACCACGGCAGCGCATCACAACGCTCCTTGCAGACTCTCAGCAGCTTCAGCAAAATTCGTCAACAAACACTGGTCGCTGAAGCGCCCTTCAGCAGTGGCACGGTCTCGACGAAATACGTCATGCACAGGCTCGAGGCGAATGTAGCTGGCATACTACTTCATGTGTAATTCATCCCCAATTTCCTTGCCCGTGCCAGCAAGCTCCGACCCTTAAAACATCCTCGCATCTATCGAAACGGGATGATGTATAGAAATAGTATCTCAGCTACGGTAAAATTCCGTGATGATCTTACCATTCTAATTAGCGGATTGACACGTATACACACACACACACTAAAGTCTCATTTGTGGCAGAATCTTTACCATCTTGGCTTGTGCATATTCAAATTGCGTCTTCTGAAGTTGCAGAATATGCGATTCACATCACCAATGAAGAGGCGACTGCCCAAGTACCATCTTGGCAGCTACTGCAGCTGTATCCACGTCCTATAAGTACGACAAATCCTACCAACATGAATAACATAACAACCTAGGGAATACAATCGCAACCACGTAATTATGAAAATACTTTTAGAGAAGAGTAATGGTGAATTCCCCTCAAAAACATTTGCATCAAAGTCGTCAAGATACAAAATGTACCTCAAGTACTCATGCGTTGTGATCCATTCGTAAATCAGTAAATTACGGCGCAATAGTAAAGTCCAATTCCAAATCTAATTTCCTTCGGTAATCCCTCAAAACGTATCAGATGCATTCACGTCTACTCTAAGGTTCGGACCGTCATTAACACCAAAGTAAAGCCCACGTCCAAGGGTTTATTTCGCTCTTACCAACGAGAGCACACCTAGCCAAAACCCTGTCATTATAAAAATCTGCAATGAAATCACAGCACCGGTGGGCAATAAGCTAAAATGCAGTCGATGACCTTGAAATTGACAAATAACATGTGATGGATCTATTATCATGGAATTCTGAACAACCGCTGACTAAATGCCCATTTGATAAAGAGATCTTGTCCAGGCATCATCGGGTGTTTTATATGAGGCAACCCAACGGTCTCAGTCGAGGTTGCAGGGGACACAGTGGCAAGTCACCCGCCATCATATGCCATGGTTACCGGAGGTGGGGGTGGAAGCATGGCCGACCACGGGAGTGCTTATTGTGCGAGGCCCGTGACCTCCAAGACAATGGCGAGGATATGGGTACGCGGTTGGTGCATTTGCTACCAGTCTTGGAAAAAAGTCAGTCAGCCAGTTAGTCTCCGGGTGATTCCATGCTTCTAATACACCAACTGCTCCAATATTGAACTGACGCATTCAAACACCGATCAACATCCTAGAATTGCCAACTTCACCTTCAACTGAAGGCATTCTCAGTTTGCAGCACCATTTGCCCCCGTCCGGACCACAGACATGACAGACCGATTCAATGCAACACGTGTACAGCCGAGTTCAAGTTACATACGATGCCTGTGCCCAACGTTAGCTGCAGAGAATACTTATTACTCTACACACCTACGCATTGACAAACTCACTGTCACCCCTACTGCAGCCACCAGTCTGTCAAACCACATCAAGGGCAGCTGCCATACAATACCTTAACAGGACCGCCTTCTCACACACGAATGGCTATCACCTCCACCGCCACTGCATGTTATGTAGTTGGCTCAGAAGCCAACTGCATCCACAAATGACACCCCATACTCTCGCGAAGACAATGGGCACACCATACAAGTCAAAAATAGCACGTCGGAATGAAGCTATTGCAGCATATGAAAGGCAGCGCAATACGACATAAGACAGTGTCGTAATCGACGAATGTTCTAGTGGGGAAGGTCTCGTCTACGTTTTCCATAAAAAACACCCAATCGAAATGGTTGAACATCCACATCTGAGTGCCGCAGATGGATGAGCAGCAGTAGCATAGCAAATCCAAACAGAGTTCAGCCGACTCCTCATGACATGTGGGTAGGAACAGATGCGCACGCAGCATACTTCAGCCCAAATTGCTGTCCCTCGCACCGATCTGCCTTCATATCACAAAAGCGATGACATCAGAGGCAGGGACGCAGTACCCACACTCGCAACTCCATGCTCCGGGGCAGCCACAACTCTAGCGCCAACCATCTGCCTAACAGGCAGACTTTTGTCAAATAGTACTCTCAGGATCACACTCCCGACCAAGCAATCAAATCTCAAAATGTCTACTTATCAAGAATCTACTAACAAAACCCAAAATCACAAAATAGAATGTGAGTTACACTAAAAACATCAAACAGGGGCAAAATTTTAGTTCAATTTGTTCAGCTTTGTGTCTGATAACGGACCAATTTACCAGTTCATTCGTGTTTCTCTCCCACGTCGCAAGTTCTCACTGTTTCCTCCGCAGTATTTGCCTACCTCCTCCAACACACGCCCTCGCTTCTCAAGCACACTTCGTGCCATCCACGCCTGCTGAATTGCACCAGACTTGCAGAAAACGACAAGTAATGGGCCAGATGTTACTCCAACCTCTTTTAAACCTCATGGAACTTTGGACAAATAATTAAAAAAACCACAAGCCCACAAGTCCCTGTTAAATCCACTCTATGTTTACCAATGAACTACACATGGTTTGACATTCCAATAAGATAAATTCCAGGTTTACAAGAATGTCTAGCAGACAATAACGCTCACATCGCATGCAAACTAATGCAAGTCATGCAGCTGTAATTCTGAGTGATCAAACACGCAAAATATTTTATTTTAATTGTAACCACCTAGTAAGTCCTTAACAGAGTTCTGAATGCAACCGTGGGCATTGCATGCAACTCATTTTAAATCACATAAAATCCCATTAATGGGAACTCAATCCATGCTGCACTTGTTAATATAGATGGCACAGCTCTAATGCATGGAATCCCGCTACAGCCTTCCAAACAAACGATCTCAGTTCCCCAAGATGCCATTCCTTTTCTTCGGGCTCACCCTCCAACACCGACTCACGCCGAAGATGGATCCACGATTAAGTGACTAGTAAGGTCTTACGTTACATGTTTCGCTGAAAAAAATCAACGCATCATCGAGGAGTGAGGCTTTAAAAGTGGTATGGAAGTCGATGAACATTTAGAATGCTACGTAAATAATGCATCTCGTACCATGCATTATGGAAGGCCTTTGGGGTGAAGAATAAAAACAAACCGACATCTAAAACACGCGCACTGAAGCAACTAACACACAAAAGGCATGACAACAAATTGTAAATCGAAGCCCATTCTTATCTAGGTAGTGTGCGACGTAATAGAAATACTTCCATGTCTATCGGATAATGCTATATTGGAAACGGATACGTTCTTGCAGGATTTAAGGACTGAAATATAAATGAATCCAGAATTTGAGGCTTCCCCATCTTTTGACATGGAGAGTATAACCGACCCAAATCCTGGTGTTAATCAAACTACCTGCAGCTACCGAGACCTTCGAGATAACAAGCTGAATTACTTAACTTAAAACTTCCTCAACATTACAAGGTGTTGAGTTTGAGAAAAAATATATCATTATACATATATATTTGTATAAAATGAGCAAGAAGTTAACTGCATAAGCACAAATGTATTGAAAATAGCAGTGATATTAAAATACGTATTTGAGATATCAATAACATAATAATGTGATGACAAGCAACATATGTTTCAATTTGTTTAATTTGGTAGTTGCAGCACTTCAAAGCGGTTGAACTAGACTTTTTTAATCCCAATATCACCATTCTGACCAACTCGTAATGTTGTCTCTTTGCAACCTAGCCCCTTTATAAACCATGCCACTATTGTTACCCAAGGTCATCGTGGATTTGTGCGCATAACTGGCCTACTGGTTCAACTCCATGTGTGGCGCTGAATTTTTCCAGTGTTATTCGGCTGATGTAACTGGCGAATGAGGGTGACCATGTTTTCAAGGACGTGTGCACTTTCTTCCGTGACTCGGGACGGTGATGAAGATTGTGCGTTCGCGACTGTTCTAGGAGTTGGTTCAGAGTTTGGTGCTGCATTTTTGCAATGCAATGAAGCATACTTAAGACCAAAGGTGGGATTGGATTGAATCCTTTTTTTCCACGCATTTCATGTCGCTTTTGTGGTACTTAATACATTTCGAAGACTGAATTTTTATGTGTCTTAGTTTTTTATAGTGGTAGACTTGTCTAACGATTCTTTTTTACTTGATGTTTCCGCTATCGACATATGATTGGGGTTAATATATTGTTTATGCCTCTCTTCATTCACATGGGTCGTACATTGTATTATCGTGGGTATAAAAAGAAGGGTTTATGAAATGTGGGTTTTTTTATATTTGTTGGTGGTGAGTGAAATTCTTACTGGGTATATTTCGCCTTGACATGAAATGTCTTACTGGGCTGCTAATGTGCTTACTTCTGTTGTCGGGAGATTGCCTATTTGTGGCGGTCTAGTGTATAAGTATATAGCTGGGGTGTTTTCGGCGTCTGGTAGTACTTTGATGCGGGTTTTATCTGTTCATGTTTGTTTAGGGTTTGTTGTACTGGAGCCTATGATAGGCCACTCATTTTATTTGCATAAGACTGGGGTTAGTCATCCTTTGTTTTCTTTCTATTCATTGAATGGCTTGTTATATTTTCATTCTTACTATTCGGTGAAGGATTTAATTCTTCCTTTGATTAGCACTACGCTGATCGTTCATTGGCTGTTTTATGTTCCTAACTTATTTGTTGATGTAGATTCTTATCTAGAAGCCGATTTTTTAAGAGCTTCTGTTAGGATTAAGTCAGAGCAGTATTTTTAGCACTTTATGCTATTCTTCGTTGCATAAGTTCTAGGATAAGGACATGGTACTGGTTTTATCGTTTCCTTTGTGTATTCCTATTAATGGAAGGTCTAGTGTTTGTGGGGTCTGACATCAGATGGAATTTCGATTTGTAATGAGCTTGTTTTTGTGGCTGAATTATTTGTGAAGGTGCCACCCGGGGTATCCTGAATCAACTATATGCCAAATTTGTAGCCTAGGGGTGGTGGCTGTAATGTTTGTCTTTAGGTTGTATTAGTAAGGGTTACGTTGGTCTTGATTTTTAGTTCTGTAATAATGGTGGGGTTCCTTTTGATGATTAGTTGATTTTTGACTAGTTTGATAATTTTGGAGAATCGTAAAGTTTTGGGTCTTATATTTTGCTTATTGTTTTTGTCACTTGATAGTCATGATTTTTGTGGTACTGATGTCAATATTTATGGTAGAAATAATAGACAGGTTAGTAATGTTAACATGGGTATGGGAATGTTCTTCAGTTTTGGAATTAGCTGATTTGTAGTTGTTATAGTTGTTCTTATTGAAGTTGTAGCTTTTTAGTAGTGGTATAAAGTGTTTTTGATCAGTTGATGGAAAGGTGTTTGATAGGTTGTTTGTTTGATTCGACATCTTTTTATTTAATAATGTTGGTTTTAATTACGGATGTGTATAGTTAGGTTGTCTTGTGAATTGTTGAAGAGTCAGATGAGAGACTTCTTGGCTTTTAGGTTACTTTTTACCGTTGTGTGGTTTTGCATTAGTCATTCAGTGCCTTTCTGATGTGTGTATGAGTTGTCAATGCTTGCGCTGTTGTATTTGATCCTTAAGGCGTCAACATATTCAAAACGGTTTTTAGCGGGGTGGCATATTTCTGGTTATTTGTTGAGCACTAGGTTGTCATTGATATTGATGGTGCTATATTTGTCTTGTTAGAAGTTAGTTTTTGCTTAGTGGCTGGGCAACATGCAGTGGGGTTTCCTTAACAGTTTTTGGCATTTGTCGTTCGTGTTTTTTTACAGGGGTACCTTTGGTGGCGTTTCCTACGTGTTTGCCAATTTTCCATGCCGAGGCAACAAGTAGAGTTCTGGTTTGTTTAAGGGGGTATATAATGAAACTTGGGTTATGAGAGGTGTATCGCTGTGCCTATTTTATCTTTGATTCTGTTTTTGTTGTATGATTGTTTATTTGTTGTTGTGCGATGGTGGTGTTTTTTATTTGTGAGTGCTTATGAAGAGTTGAATGGTACGCGTTGATTGGCGTTTTTAAGCTTGTCTCATATTGTTATTCCGTTTTTGGATTTTTTGGTGAGAAATTGGGTTAAAGTTAAATTATCCTTCTTTTTATTGTTTAGGTCATGGGTTAAGTGCTGGTTTTTTTGTTTGGTTTGTTGTGATGTTTCTATGGTATTTCTCATGCTCGAAAATGGGTTTTATTTAAGTCTGATATTGGTGGTGAGATTGTGGTGGTTATTTGTGGTTTCGGGTTCATTAAGTTTATGTTCGTTTCCTTCGACTATACAATTTTTGTGAGGTGTATTTGGGTAGTCAATGTTCTAATGTATTATTTTGCATATTTGTGTTGTTTTTGTGGTACTTTAAACATTTTGAACATTAGGCTTTTTGTCAAATTTCTGCCATTTATAGCTTGGCAACATGTTGCATCCTTAAGAAGTGATTAAATCTGCCAAGCCTAAACAATTTGTAGGTAGATTACCAGTTGCCTTTGGCTGCCCTTCGGAAATAGAACTGCACGACTGCCGACATGTTGCATCCAGGTGGTCTGGGGCCTTCCACCAGAGCCGTATCTTCCACAATTAGCGCTCAGCGTTGTGATTTGGCTATTCTTTTGACAGAATGCACGTAAGCAGCCACTGCCTGGAAGGCTGAAGATGTTCATCCAACTCCCAGTTTCGCTCTTGAGTTGGTTCATCTGGACAATGCCGTTACCGCTCCAACGATGTGAGTGCTTACTCTCCTTTTGATTTGATGCACTGCAAAGAAACGTCTTCCATGCTCCATCCCCGATTTTTTGTCACGTCACGCAAATGTGTCATGCGTTCCTTAGCAGCTTATAATAACTAAGATTGCACCAAATTGTGGGCCACCAAAGGCTTGTTCGTATTGCACATAACAACCTTGAAGGATAATACCTTTTTTGGTTATTGAGCAATGAGTGAGGTGTCTCGATGAATTTTCCTATCTGACAGGCCTTATCTGCGAACGTTTTATTTCGTGCTTGTGCAGCTGCTATCGTGGGTGTCGCCTTTCGATTCCTTTGGTGTGGGTCCACTGGCGCTCAGGTCTTGTTCGTAGAATCATTCTTTTATTCGACATCATTGCCAAGGATGTCTCATCAAACATGCACAAGTGGCTGGTCTTAGATTTGTTTGGTTGTAAATGTTGAGTCCTGCCCTGCAACATTTGAACCTTTGACTGCGACTATTCGGCTGGCCATTGTTTTATTAGCCTAACAAAGAGCCTTGGCTTTTTTGTTGTCGTGCATTGGGTTTCTTTAACTTCCCTCCTGCTGGGTTCGGATGGGCTTTGATTCATTACATGAGGTTGTTTTACTTTCTTTCGTGATATCCGTCTTCAGCATTTCGCACTTCAATACTTCAGTTCGAGTACGAATTGAGAGTGACTGTAAGGACTCCATTAAAGTTGCCATACTCTTCACTAAAAGGCCTTTTATAATCCATTCTTGAAATACGTCTTCAGCATTCACGGATAAATCCATGAACTCTCGATACTCTTATAGTATTTAGGAACTGCGGTCTAATCTGGCAATGGAAGTGCGATGATTGTAGAGGTGCCACTAGAACAATGTGCATAGGTCCCTTTTGGCAATAGACTGTCTTCTTGAATCCATCCTTTATATTTCTCTGTATATGTCCCTTAAGTTTTCGTCATGGAGATCGTTCCACGTAACTGCATCACTAGATTTGATCGCCATTCTTACTACTACTGTCTTTCCTGTGCGATCGCTTCTAATTTTTCTTCAAGTATAAGCACAGGTGGCCGAGTTAATTTGGAGGAACTGCTGGAGGAAGAGGGTTAGTATGCGAGTGAATGAGATCAATTTCCGTTGACTCCACAATAGTCGCTGTAGTCAAAGCGTAGTATTTTATGGATAGCCTTAAAATTTCATTTGGGGCGTTTTCTGAGGCGCAGAGCTGTCTGTTTGTAGCACCTCCTTTTCCATCAAAAGTGGCGGTCATAGGTCATTGGTAAATGACATCTCCCGGATAGCGTTGCCTCAAAACTGTGCCAGTATGTGGACACCCTCTTTTTTATGAATGATTTTATTCTCTTTTCGGCGTGAAAGTGCCTAAATTGTCTTAAACCACTAGAAAATCAGTGGATCGTTTAATGTGTGGGTGGTATCACAGGAGGTTGACTGATATTGATGGCGTAGGTGCTGCAACAAACTTGGCGACTGGAAGTGAAGGCGTACCATGTGGAGGGTGGGAGGGTGGACAACTGGGTAGAGAGATGAAGAATGTTTGGATAGATGCGGTGTGGGTGGATTCGGGGTTTGGTTGAAGCACATTTACCGTAAGCTGTTAAAGCGCATCTTTGATGGGCGGATGGAGGCAAGAAGGCCGAGGCGTCACTCATACGTGACTCTGTTAGCGACCGTTATTTGCCCCAAATGCTTTTTTATCTATGGTTATTTTTTCATTATTTTGCACCTTATTAGACATAACAAAAGAGGAATGGTTTAAGCTGACGAGTTTGTTGAAAGAATGATTAATAAGCAAGTTAGCCTCCTCATGAGAATTGAAAACATTGAGGCATGTGACCACCAGTAGGTTTATTGATGACTCTCAGAGGGGTACAGGTGGGAGCTGATTCATTATCACAAGTTTTCTGTTCTCTTACCTATTAATGCTCTTGTGAGTGGTACTGACACCGGTCAAGGGGTATGGGCGTTTTACTTTCTGATGATATTCACAAGCTTTGTAATCGACGTACAGACGGACATTGAGGCTAGAAGCCGGGCTTCACGCGAAATTGTTCTCCTTTCGATAGTCGTCTGAAGTCTTCTCGTAAAATTTAATCAAGCACGAGAAAGGAAAGCAACTTGCGTAATACCATGATAACATTGGTAGTGCGTGGTGATACAACGGGACAGAGGTTCGTTTGGGACGATGTTCCAGAGTGAACATCGCCGTCTTCCATTAGGTGGATTTGTCTGAGTGCATTGAGGGGTCACAATATCAATCGCTGCATCTACAGCTATCCTGTAAGCAGATCTTCAAGGCACACTTTCATTTGTTTTTTTCTCTTCAGACGTCACTGCTAAGTGTAGACGTGGTTTCAGCAGCCTTACTTTGATATTTAAGCCTTTGTATACAGTTGGTAGAATTATGATTGTATTTCATTTGCATCTGGTCTTCTTTGAGTGCGTAAGAAAACATGCCACTAGGAAGGTGGGCACATAATTAATGGGATAGCTAAAGTCAGTGTATTAAAGGACTATAAGAAAGAAACAGATTTTTGAAGCCCCTTTGATGGATGGATGAATGAGTGGGTGGGTGGATGGATAGATGGAGGAGGAGTTTCGTGGGATAATAGGATTTGACATAATTTTAGCAACTGAAATTAAGTGAGCATTTCCTGTGTACCCGTGTAGTCATCCGTACAGAGCTGGTCCATTTAAACATGGAGCAGAACCATTTGAAAGCCCAGGTAGAAGAGTTCAACTCCGAGCGGACTCGAACATGCATCAAAATATCAAATCAGCGTAATTGCCTTCTGGAAGCCAACATCAAGCTCTACTTGGAGATCGATGGAAGTTCGCCCACCCAAAACCCGCGTTTTAAATAGCTGCCAACCTTCCGACCAGCCAGTCCAGCCCTTGAGATGCCTATTGTTGATGACATTTTATCAAGTCATGTCATCGGTCTAACTTTAAGAACATCTGGTAGCGTAATAGGTGGTATGACATCACAGTTGAACCTAACCGACTGTTATAATTGGCACAGATTGCACGATGTCCCCACCCTCACCATCGACAATAGAACTTGGGGGTATCGATTATGGCAGTGTTTGGTAGACCCTCCACGCATTACTGCTACTAACGGTGTTCGTGAATTTTGACTGTGATATTTCAATTCAAACATGGTCTTGCGCTCTAGTCTTTTCGATTCAATTGAACTTGTTTGTTGCTTTATTGAATTATTAGTTTACTAGTATTATTTGCAATAAAGTTGCCCAATTTTGTGTTTTATCAGTTCATTCCTCTTGACCGTTAGGCACTTACATCTACAATTTCCTTAGCTGTTTGGTTATAAGCTCTATGACGCTCTGAATCAGTAGATTGTTTCAATTTGAGTGAGTCCGAGCAGAAGCTTTGGAAGCCCACCCACTTTGCGGTGTTGATTTGGCAACTAATTAATGGCTCCTCTTGGCCAACCACGGATTGGTTGAGTGGCTCAAATCAGGACTGACTTATTAGAAGTCGATGAATCTCACTGGCCTAATTTGGTGGTTAGGCACACTACCCACTCAATTAATGTAAGACGTCGATCTCATGATGAAGTTAGGATTGCTGCCACCACTGCGGACCAGTTGTTTGCTCTGCGTCGTAGGCTGTTGGTAGCCAATGAAGTGGCTTGGTCATGCCTACTCCTCAACACGAGAGGTTAAGCGGGATTGTGAGAGCCGTATTGATTTGACTGTCAGTCATTAATTTCCTCTTTAAGGCAGGTAACCCTACATAAGACTGAATGGGTCTTTAGAAGGTGATAATAATATACAGCGTTAGTTATGACTTGAGGGCTTTGTGGGCCTAATTCGGTCGTAGTTTGTCGAAGACCGATAAATGGGTAAATTGAATTGGCCTCCCATAATTGTCTGGCATGGGTACTTTTGTCAGAGGAGAACCTAAAGTAACGATGCTGGAAATTTATCGGCACATTTTCAGATGCCAGATTTCAATATTTCGTGCAACGAGTAAAAAATTTCTGCTGATTGTAAAACATCCCGCGAATAGGTATTAAGGACTTTCGTTCAAAGCAGTTCCACTGAGCAATAGGGGGAGTTTATTGCTCTCGTCGGATAGCCTAGAGCAAAACCGATATTTACGATGTGTGGTGATTTTGTAAGCGAATGGATGGTGTTTGTGAATAAGGCAACAGAGGAGGAGAAATAGAGAGGAGCATATCCGGGTCGGTGGAAGGTTGGTGTTCATGAGGATCCATCAAATGGGTATCTTTCAATTTATCCTCATGTTCGTAAAAATGGCAACGTTGGTTTATATTATCGTTAACGGCAACTTTGGTAGGTCCCTTCAGGCCATCTAAAGTAGCTGTTATTGATGGTCCGAATCGCCAAGTTGAGGTTGGAATTCTGCAAAATATGGTGGGTGTTTACTCACTTTATTTGCGACTCCTTGATCTAGGGTTGCTACAGCTATGCACAAGATGAGGCAAGGAGAAAAGGATGTGCAAGCCCTTTGATGTTGTTCCTGTTTGATGTGGAAGTGGCTGATTGTGACCATTTTAAACAGATTGTGCGGTTATTCTTTTACATAGACTGGGCGTGCTAAGGGTGCAGATCCGAGGGAATTATTCAAAAGGACAGAGTTGATTGAAGGCAGTGAGAAGTGCAACAAAGTAGATGGTTGGCATTTTTGGTTTTAATACAATACCACTATTTTTAATGGATGAAAAATGTCCCACTGCTGAACTGTCCACCCTTCTCTGGTCGGTTTATTTGTTGTCAAATCAGCTGCAATTGGAACACTTGAGACTGTATGAAGTCCGTATGTTTAGTACCATCTTATCCGATTAGAATATTGCCTACTGCAATGTAACCTGTAAGCTCTTTGGTCAAAACATTGCTAGGGTCCCTTTGGCGTCAAAGAAAGACGAGAGCATAAAGTGGAAATGAGCAAAAAAACACTTTAAGCATAAAGTGGCATTTCTCCACTTCTTGTGGTTTTAAAGACGCAGGAATTTAATGAAGAAAAATGGACATCTAAAGCCAGGCAGCTATTTCACTTTTACGACAAAACCGCAAACGAAATCGTCTTAAGATTATTTGCTATTAGTCATCGTTCTTGGTGATGTTGAATATCACATGCAAATATGCTTGACGATTCCAACGTTTTTTTAAGGCTATTTCAATTATGAGGGTATTTGCACACCCGCAAATACTACTAAAGGCTTGCCGTCGAATCATAAGACTGGCGGTAACACTAACGTCTCACCTAATCGTAGCAAAACTCTAAGGGTGTGAATCTGCAGAAAGATAGCTGCCACTGTTTGACGTTAAATGGTTTTGTCCATCTACCGATTCCTCTCAAATGAGTCACCACTGGCTACACAAATACGGTTGATAAGTGGCCTAATCCCCACCTTAACACATGCAAAATGCGTCTAATCCAGAATAAGTAGTTGGAATGTGTGGTGATATGAGGACTAGACAGATCAACTCTTCCTCGTGTGGTCAAAATTTGGGCAAATCTTTGACTTGCCAATTTCTTTAAGGTTTCGCACTTTACATACCAGCTCTGTAAGGGTCATATGGAGCCCCAGGTGTGTGTGTGGTTATTTTAAAATTAGTTAACAAAAATTATTTTTTATATATTTTCACAAGACGCTCTTTAGGCATTTAAAACGCAGCCGGCAAGCTGAAGCACGTTTGAAATCAGAAGAGTGGGCACTTGCCGCTTCAGACTGCAGCGAAATTCCGAAATGGTAACCTCAAATAAAGGTGAGATAGGTTCTCAAATGGTTTGATGAAATTCGGGATAATTTGTATGTTTCGACGGAGACTCGTGTCGCCGTGCGTAGTTCTCGGGTTGGCAGAGTTCAGTCGTAGAAATGCTAAAGTTGCTTGTTCGGACCTCGTTCCGTCTTTCTGAAGTGCCTCTAAGAGGTAATATCCTATTGAAACTCAACTTACTGACATGAACACACACTTGCGGTGAACGGATGTTAGACAGACATGAGGTCCTACCAAAGTGGACATTTGTCCAACTTTTCCATGAGATGTGGACAGACATAACAAATACTCAGTACAAATAAGCAAGGGGATTTTAAACTTCCGAATTCGGAACAGAAAAATATCTGAAACCTACATAGATTCACTATCCGTTTTTCAATTTAATGTCAACGCTATTATATCCCAATGCAACGAGATGGATTAAGTTTTTCGTGCAATTGAACTTGTTTCTGCTGGAGGTGTACCGGAGGTTTTTTCCTATCTACTGCAGGTAAATGTGGACGCACCGACCGAATGAAGCAACCAGTTTTGGAATCAGGGATTCCCACAATAAGCATACGGAGGGAATTAAGCGGGCCAAATAGCACAATTCACACAAAAAAATGGCCGTTTTGGATATAACTCGGTACGGTTCATGCAATTAGTTCGTTTTCTTTCAAACACAGTTACTTTCAAAAGAGTGCTTGTTCGACATGACGCTGGTTACTATGACATTCCAATGTCCCGTGTCTCTATTGGTGTTCTGAGGACTATGGCTTCCGCACGTGCTACCACAGGTCTGCATATTCAATATTCCAATGTAAGCTTGATAGCTTCTCAGCTTCTAACACTTGTCAGCGGTGAAAAATTATCAATTATCTGGTTATGTGTATAAGGCGTCACTCATACACATCAGCATCCTTTTTACTGCTTGGTAATAAGCGCCCATCAATTGACAGGATATCTGTGCCGAATTATTATCTATGGATTTCTGGGTGATGGATTGATTAAATGGATCCAAAATCCAGGCAGATTAAAGTTAAATTTTTGCAATTGGTGATGCGGTTTCCTGCCAAGAGCTCAAGGAGGCACTTCTTTGACGTCAAACTAGCAGAAATGTCAAAATCTTACCTTCGTAGGTGATGTCATGCCAAATAACTCCCGGAGCGTGCACTTTGCTCGTAAAAAACGGAAGTTCCAATTTTACCTCAACATATAATCGTGTGTCGCTTTCTCAAATTTCTTCGAAATATTCAACTTGAGGCGTCATCCTTGAGGCTTAACCACGTACCTCCTATTAAGCACTTTCTATTGCCTCGTCACTTAATTACTACCCAACCTATTCCCAAAAGTTCATTGAGTTGCTTATGGCACTTGAACGACTTGGTGTCATATCACTGTACAGTAGTATACTTGGTGCCCCCAGTTAAATTAACCTTTAGCTTTTTTTAAATTGGTTCAATCTGAAAGCCTTGTCCAGCATAAGGCCATCGGTCATGCTAGAGCTAAGCTCTCATCCTCATGATTTGCGGAAATTGAGAAATCGCATGGCATGGCAAGGCGACAACTTTTTCCCTTCATCACCTTTGCGTAAAGCACATATCCCACAACTGAGGCAAAGAAAACAACGAAAACCCTCTGTCTGGCAGTAGAGGAAATGGAGAAATAACACCTAAATTGATTAATGTTTTATGCAAATTGGCCTACATTTTCCGTTAAAACCATTTAAATTGTGAAGATGCAAAACAACCAACAATTGTAGTGTGGTTTTTGGTGACAATGTGGACAGATTTGCTGACTACTAAGTAAAAGGGACAACTATTACCATTTTGGCTTCGAATTTTACTGGCTCTTTCTGTTTCATTTGGGTCGAAATAAGGCAGATAATAGACCATGTGAATATAGCAAAACAAGCTTTTACTTTTACCAAAAGATGGAAATGCCTCCTTACCATTAAATTACGCATATGATATCGCCGAAATCGCACCTTCAAGAAAGCTTATTCCAGTGCTTTGGCAGATTTACAAGCTGCGCCTTGGCTTTGAGTGGGCGCATGGGAGAGTGCACTCATGTTAGGAGGCAAGAAAGTGTACCACTTAAATTGGACTCCATAATACTATTTTATGTTTGGTTAAATCATTTTTGACAGTAACTCTCCCTTTTTAAGACAAATATAAGTATTAATTTTTTTGTGAGTTGAGTAGTAAAGTGCAAATTAAAGACTTTATTAAACAAGTAGGAAGTGAATTAAAATTACATCCTGCAGGGAATATGAGAAAGCAGTGACACCCTGTGCGATGTGCTCACTGACTGCTGAGTAGCACGGGCTCGAAGAATTAGCTGGTTCATCCTTATCAATATCTCTGAAAAAAGTTTGGCTCTGGGATTAAAGGCTTTACCAGGTACCTTTTCCAGGATTGCTTCTCAAGGGGTAAGCAATTCGGTCCTTCTGGCAGCCACGGCTGCACAAAACGGCAAACGGTGTTAAAGGTAATCAACGCTGTCGCCTTTTAAGCTGCTCTCTGACTAAAGGAAGACGATTTAACCAGCAGTCATTGATCCAAATTGCATTATGAAAAGGTGGATACGGAGGCTTCCAACTACCCGAGACCAAACCATTCCCCACAATATGGAGGTTTTGTATGTGAGTTGATGAGCAACTCGTCAAATTATCGGCCTATGAGCAGAGGCGTGTAGTGGGATAGAAAATGGTAAGTGGTTTTATAGGATCATTATTCTATATCATTGCGCAAACATTACGTGACTTCCCACTCCATCACTGCAGTCACGCCAAATTTAATCGAATAAAACCTACAACCAGAGACAAGGTGCCCTTGCCACCCCATAATGGTATATGAGAGTGTTTGCGTATGTATGTGAAGGGAAGAAAGAGGAAGGAATTAGAGTAAGGAAGGGTGTGTCAGTGTGGCCATTTGAAGGTGAATAAAATTAAATGTGACTTAACGCCTTCGAACAGGTAGGCAGTGCATGCCATCGAATAGAGGAAGCATCTATCCTCGTAGTGAGTGTGCTCCAACTGTTCTATGTGGAAAAGTTGGTATGGATAACCGGTGGTTGGGATTTATACGCCTTTGTTTGCAAAGCGCTGTGTAGATTGCCAAAAATTTAGCAGCCACTTGTTATAACTCAGGAGTTCCTATGGTCGTGACTCGGCTGCATCTATCAAGAACTCTTATTAGACTTCAAAGCATGCACATTTGCCACAGTCCTAACGGTCTAGCATTAGGGGTACGATTGGTAAGTTATTGGGTTTCTAATATTTAGTTCTGCATAAATGCATTCTGGTTCCCACCTTACACTAATACCTATTATCAGGTGTCGAAAATTTCTTACGGTGTTCCATAAAGGCCTGGAATACACAATTTGTTACCAGAGCTCACATTGGCAGGCGACACCTGAATGTTGCTACAGGCACAAGAGGTAAAGCACATTCATCTACACACTTTTTTCAACACAGGAGGTCGATGATTAGCATCGGAGTCACTTCTACACAAGAAAGAAGCAGCAATGTGACAGGTAGTTGACGAAAAAGACCTTATAAATTGATGCTAAATTGGCGGAGCTTAGATAGCACACTGTAGAGATAAGAATGTGAGCACAACTACTGGCTGAAATTCAACAACGCATCATGGTGACAGGTCGAAATCGCCACAGGAATTGACCAATAAAATGACAAGATTGGTTACTATCAAGATTGGCTCCGCTATGTAACACATCATCACTCAATCGGAGAAAGGAGAGACGAAGTGACGGGTTCAACAGACATGGATTTCATCTGTGGCGTTGTGCAGGAATTTGTGAGTTA